TCTCTGTTAGACCCAGGGCGCTACCATTAACTGTGTCAGTCCTGCCCTGGTTTGTCTTACCAAAATGCAATACCCCGCATCTATCTAAATTAAACTTCATTTGCCATTCCTTGGCCCACTTGCCCAGTTGTTCAAGATGTTATTGTACTCATCGATAACCTTCTTCACTGCCCACTATACCACCAATTGTGGTTTGATCTACAAACCTACTAACAATCTCTCCTGCATTTTCGTCCAAATTGTTTATATAAATGTCGAACAACAGTGGTCACAAGGCTCCAGTCAGGACTGTGTTGTTGGTAGAAGTTTTATGCGGTACAATCAGGACTGTGTTATTGGTAGAAGTTTTATACAGTACAGTCAGGACTGTGTTGTTGGTAGGAGTTTTATACAGTACAGTCAGGACTGTGTTGTTGGTAGGAATTTTATACGGTACAATTAGGACTGTGTTGTTGATTGAAGGTTGTCCAAACCCATATTCAGGTTGTATCAATAGCCTTTATTAAGAAAGCCCAACATTGGCCAGTTAAGTGCCTGATCAGAATGAAATAACATCGGTCCTTCCGATCCTGAAAAGCCACACATGACTTGTACTGGTTCTCCTGCCAGTTGCTGAGAATGCCCACATTAAATCCCAGATTCTATGTGCAGTTCTAGCCTCCATACTTAAAGGAGGATGTGCTCACTTTGTACACAGTTCTTTAGATTTTTTGCCCCTGCCAGGTGATTCGCCCTACGTGACAGGTTGAAACCACGGTGCTTACAAATCACTGGAGTTTAGGAGAATGAAAGATTGAAACTTGCACAATTCAATCAGACCAAATACTAAGAAGTTGTTTTCTTCTGGCTGTGGTGTTTGGAATGGGAGAGGATCACTCTTAGGATAAGGGGTTGATCATTTATGACTGATGTGAGAAAACGTTTCTACATTCAGGCATTTGTAAAACTTTGCAATTCTCTAATTTTTTAGCGTGTGGATGGTCCATCATTGCATTTATTTCCGACTGGGTAGAACTCTCAAGGAATCAAGCAATATTAGGAGCAATGGAAATGTGGTAACTTTGATTCTATTGAAACACAGAGCAGTTCTCAATTCCCAAGCCTCCCATTCAATGCCCTTAAGTATTTGATAAATTTCAGGGTCCCATTGTTACAAAGTCCAGGGAATAGACATTTATTCTACTCACCAATTGCTTTATCCATCACAGGGGTTAGTAATCCAGATTAATGTTTGTGTCAGATAGGTCCAAATCCCAGCATGGTAGGTGCGGAACTATTAATTCAATATTTTATGGGTTCAAGATCCAGATTTTAGCTGGTGCCCATCTGTGCCCTTTTATGGGAGAGGACTCTGGGTGTGAGTCAGGCACTGCTTAAGTCTTGGTTTTAGGAAATCTGTATTTAAGAAAGTCTAGTTCAGGTTTTGATAATCTAGATTTTAGGATCGGACTGTGGATGGAGTGGGTCAAGTTTTGGGCAACTGCATCTGGGTTTTGGACATTTATTTTGGAACTTTCAGTGCATGATATTTTCTTCAACAGAATCCTCTAAACTCATGACGTCCACCACCAGGAAGGCAGCATGGCAACACCAGGTACATCTCACCATCACACACAGTCCTAACTAGGACATTTAATCCCAGTATTTATTCATCACTATTGGATTGAAAGAGCATGAGTCCCTATTGAACAGCACTGGAGGAGTGACTTCACTGGAAGAAGTGCAGCATTTCAAAGTGTGGCTCATCAGGACATTCTAAGGCAACTTAGGTTAGACAGCATTTTCTTCGACATGTTCAAGACTTCTGTCGTTGAGTCCTATCCTTCTTTATGTCACAGTAGATGTGTTCCTCTGAGTTGGCTTACCATTGTTTGCTCAAGTCCTGATCTCCAACCAAACCTTTTCCTGCCTGAAGGTGTTGACATTTTAAAATGTGGCCATTGACAAACACCAGTCAAAATGAACCAATGACTCCCAGGACAAACATTTTTAATTGATGTTTTAAATAGTACATTCAAGTCACATTAAAGACTCCAGCTTCAAGCCATACAGCAAGAATACGCTGTGTGCATTAAAAAAACTCTAACAAGAACTTGCATTGATACAGTTTCTTTAATATAGTTACAAATACCAAGGCACTTCCCAAAATTTGACATTGATTGACAGAAGGAGATCGTTGGAAGAATGACTCAAGACATGGGCAAAGCGGTAAATTTCAAGGAGGGTTTTAATGCACGAGCTGTCAATTTGTTGAGAGAATCCTATTGTTTACGGCTGAGAAGTGTCAAGACATGATCACTTTTGATGGCAAATAGAGTGGAGGAGAGATGATGCATGTATTGGAGAAATGCAGAGTTCTTCCCAATGTCAGAGATGTGCACTTTAATTCATCCATGTGGCATTTCCCCATTTCTCACTTTGACAATCCTTTGGACTGTCAGTCTGTAACTGTCAATCCATATAAATGATGGGACAGTTTTGTTTTGTTGCCACTGCATTATGCAATGGGCTGTGCTGTAGAAAATGCACTGAGACTGTCTAAATCAAGTCAGAATACATTGCATATCAAGAGACACAGTGCTCCACCTGTGAAGAGAGCCTCTTTTAAAAAAGACCATTATATATAACAATTTATTACCCTTCAAATATTACTTTTCCAAGTTACTAATTTATGACTTACATTCAAATAGTTAGTGCAATGTACGATGTGCTTTTGCTACTAATGATATGGCCATGCTCCCAAGTACTTGGTTCTTGAAGATGTGCAAATTTCATTGTTTTGAGGCCCAATTGCCTTTCCTGTGACCATTTCAAACAGAAAACCAAAGAACAATGTTCAACACCCACTACTTTCATAAAAACCTGGGTGGAGGTAGCTGAATGGAAATTTTCAGGCACTTGGTGGGAAAGCTCGGGGCAATGAGAATGCTACAACTTGCTCCACTGCAAAAGACTTGGAGATGTATCTGTGCATTCTTTCAGATTCATGAATACAGGGACAATCCTGACAGTGGAGTTATGTTAGACAAACCATGAGGTTCAAAAGGGGTCTGTCTCTTATTGCAAGTCACTTGGAGCAGAAGCTTCTTCATTATAAATGTTCACAGTCATTACCACAAGTGCTTTAAGACCAGGAGACCATAACATATGGTGACAAAATCAGGCCATTCAGCCCATCGAGTCTGTCTTACTATTTAATCATGGCTGAAAAGTTTATCAACCCCATTCTCATGCCTTGTCCCCTCACCTTTCATCCCCTTAACTATTGTTAAAGACAATTTTTGTATTGAAGATGACAATGCAGTTTCACAAAGTGCTTACAAGTTTCAATTCCATCAATTCCTTCATTTATTACTGGAGCAATCGGCAATCCTTCAGAGAAATAAATATTCCTAAAGCACTTGCACACAATTCCAAATTATAAGTATAAATAAATGGCTTAATCTAAAAAGAAAGCATTGCAAACATTTTTCATCCACTGGAACACATTCATGTTGGTCTCTGAGTTATAATGTGCTTTATATATTAGAGTGCATTATTTGGTCTATTGACCTGTTTCAGTTAACAAACCTTCAAATAAAAGAAAAATGTCCCTCATATGGACCAACAATCTGGCTCGGGAATGGGTGTCATCTGGGCTCAGAGCAGCTTACTTTCCAATATCCTCCTGGGAACCTGTCCATTCACCAAAAAATTTCACATCAAAGTACAGTTTTTCTTGTGGGATATTTTCAGAATTCAGCTGATCATTTATCAGTGACACAACATTCTCTTCACCAGCAACATCTTCCGTAAAATTAAACTGGAACTAAGGAAATAATCAAAAGCCAAAATAGGCAGTCACTCATTGTTGGAGCTACACAATCTAATTTGGTTTCCAGCAGCTTGTTTTTTTTACTGTCTGGCTCAAAAACAAAAGGCAGAGTTGGCCTGACCATGGCTAACAAGGGAAATTAAAGGGAGTGTTAGCTCCAAGGAAACATGATACAAATCGGCCAGAAAAAACAGTAAACGTGAGGATTGGGAGCAGATTAGATTTCAGCAAAGGAGGACAAAAGGATTGATTAAGAGGGGAAAATACAGCACAAGAATAATCTTGTGAAGAACATACAAACTGATTATATTAGTTTCTAAGTGAAAAAGATGTGGGAAGACAAATGTGGGTCCCTTACATTCAGATACAGGGGAAGTTAGCTGGGGTACAAAAAGGTGGCAGATCAATCAGATACATATTTTGGTTCTGTTTTCACAAAGGAGATAACATCCCAAAAATGTTGGGGAACACAGGGTTAAACAAGAAGGCGGAACTGAAGGGAATTCATATTCATAGGGAAATGGTGGGATTAAAGATCAAAATTACCCCAGGATCAATAAAATTCCTGCAGTTGCATTTAAAGAGGTGGCTCAAGAAACAATGGATGCTTGATACCTGAGATAACAAGGTATAGAGCTGGATGAACACAGCAGACCAAGCAGCATCAGAGGAGCAGGAAGGCTGAAAATTTCTGAAGAAGGGTCTAGGCCCAAAGCATCAGCCTTCCTGCTCCTCTGATGCTGCTTGGCCTGCTGTGTTCAT